TACCAGGGTGCGAGAGATTTTCTGGGTTGCAATCGCGCGGGCCTTTGTGTCGGCGTCGTGGACTTTCCTCTTGTTCTGCATCATCGGCAGCATCTGGAAACACTACTACGAGGCGCACACCAGCCTGGAGTGGTTACACAAAAGGGAGACGGCTCTGCTCAATACGCTGTCTGACGTCGTCGTGACCGTTCAGGCCAGAAATAGTTTCGAGGTACTCGAGGCCAACGACAAGTTGGACCACCTCGTGGGGACACACATGCAGGGGAGGAGCATATTAGAGTGTGCCGCAGACAATTGTGCGCGCGTGGAATTGGAGAAGTTCCTGGTGCCTCCAGCGGAATCCTCGCCCCCCAACAGAGCATTCATGGAGTGGGTTCGTAGCTCCTGGTGGTGGAATCTCATGCCGCCCCAGGTAAGGGCAGCTCTTCCTTTGGCGCCAATGATTCGCACTACATGGTCCTGCTGGCGACCAGATGCTCCTCATACAGTAGAACTGGAGCTGATGTCAATGCCTCTCTTCGAAAAGGGCACTGGTACTTTAATCTTGGCTATTCGACTGGCGCTGGAAACATCGGGGGATACGGCAATTCTGTCTGAAGGTGGACATCTGGCTAGAGCACCACGGCCAGAGTCAGCCGCGATGCACGCACTGGTGCACGCACCGGTGGAAGATGACGAACCAGGTAATCTAGAGCAAGGAAGCCACCACAGCCTGACAGATAGTACTGGCATATCACGGCCCCATCGGCCGTACAGGATTAGAGCTGGAGGTCGGAGCGAGAGTGCTGGGAGTTCCCATACAATTCAGCGGGGGGAGGTGTCGCCAGTAACGCAACAGTCCGATTTCGGAACGCCACCGCCTACAGTGTACGGCTTCCAGGCAGACAGCTGGCGTGTTCCAGGTCCTTCGGCTCCCCAGTTCCGTGCTGACATGACCTTGGCATTGGAGGTTGCTGACAGACTGCAGACGCATGGTTTGGTGCCTTCTCCTGACTGATTTCGCAAACGTTGTCGTCGTCGTCGTCGTCATCGTCGCCGGCGTCGTCGTCGTCACCGTCGTCGTCGTCATCATCATCGTTGTCGTCGTCATCGTCGTCGTCGTCGTCCCCCCATCCCATCGGGGGGGGTGAGGGACCTTGAGACCCATTCCATCTAGGGGGGGCCGTGGGCCCGGCTCCGGGTCATTATGTGTATAAACAAGTGCGTCAAACATAAATTTCGACAAACAAAAGCTTATCAGGGGGCACGATCCGCGTGAGGGGTGTGCCGAATTGGGCGTGGGCCAGCATGCGCGCAGACTCATTGGGGCCGTGTAGGTCGAGGGCCTTGCCATGCGAATTCTGCCACAGGGGCCGTAGGTGGAGATGCCCATGGGGCCACGGTCCACGATCTTCGCCAGGGGTGCGCCGAATGGGAGAGGTCCAGCATGCGAACCCTGGGACCGGGGCTGCAGGTGGACCTCCCTGTGGGCCAGGATCCTCGTCAGAGGTGCGCCGCATGAGGTGAAGGGGGGCGCCCTTCGAACTCTGTCACCGGGGCTGACGGTGGAGCTCCTTCTGGGGCCACGACCTTCGTCACAGTACGCCATGCAACCCCTGCCATTGGGGCCCCAGGTCGAGCTCCCTATGAGGCCGCGGCCGGCGCGAATGGAGCTGCCTATGGCACGTGACTAACAGGGGCCTTCTCAGCGCCATCTTCGGCCGCGCGCCTAACCCGCGGGGTCTGGTGGCTCACACCCCGCGGCCGTGCTCCCCCCGGTGCCCCTTGCTTGCCTGCGTGCTTGCTGCCCCTCTTCTCTCCCCCTCCTGCTGCCAGCGGTGTGGTCACCACACCGCTTGGGGAGCGAAAGGTTGTGCCTGGCAGGCGCCCTCAACATGAGAAGGTGTCTATACTGTCGCGTACCTCTGAGCCTCCTCGATCGGCTTGTGGCTCTCAGCCTTGACCAGGAGCCCTCTGTCCACCTACAGTGTAGAGCAGGAGCTATTTGAAGTCAGACCCAGTGTGCAATTACACACTGGCGTTATGTGACTGTCTTGGGTCACGCATGAGGCCCTCTTGGGCCGTCTTGTGTGCCTCATGGGCTACCGCGGGGTCTTCTTGGGCCATCATGGGACTCGTGGGCCGTCTTGAGGCCATCTAGGAGGCTTCTCGTGCCGTCTTTACACGACGGAAGCTCGAAAAAGCCCGAATGCGAAGACCCGTTCAAAAACATGTGGAATCATCTCGAAGGCATCGTGGCCCATCTCAAGGCCACAGTGGGCCGCCTTGGGGCCATCTTGGTTTTGTCGTGGAGGCATATTCAAGGGCTCCCACGAGGGCGCGAAGTTATTCGCGCTTCGCGGTCCTCGTTCATTCTCCCCCTCCTCCTCGTCCTCCTTTTCTCCCTTTGGGGGGGCGGCGCGAGAGCGCGAAGTTATTCGCGCTTCGCGGAGCGCGAAGCGCGAAGTTGGGAGCCCTAGCATATTGGACCATCTTGGTTGCTTTGGTTACCTTCTTGGACCGTCTTGGAAGCTCGGGGCGCGGATCCATCGTTTGGGTCACGAGGGATCGTGGCTTCGGGAGGGAGGGGGGTCCTTCACTAAAGTGCAGGGGCCTTGCCAGGCAGACCTTGGCATTCCTCCACACATCAACGTGCCAGAAGGCACGGGTGGCGGACTGAGCTCTCGGTTAACAGACTTCCTGATCCCATGCGTCCAGACAGTCTGTATGTGAGCATCCGCTACCAGGATGGGTTGCGCTTGTTTGAAGCGGACTCTCGCTAGATACCCAATTGAACGTCACAGCCCTGCTCCGCTGAACCCTTCACAACTAGAAAGACGGAGGGCGGTTCCTCTTCAAGACGGGGCTCTCGCTGGGATGGGAGGCGCATAGGGGTTCTCGTGTTTCAAGGAGAGACCTTTCTCATGCGGTGACAGGGGATGCCTGCGGGGACTTACAATGAGGGGATTGGGGACGGGATGGTGTATTGCAGCACCGATCATGCAACCTGATTTTACTTGGGTACTCAACTAGGGCATTAGAAGGTCGCTGCTCTCCTCCACTACTCTGGAGGGACACTTGAGGGTCAGCTTCGTCTCAACTCCGAATCATAGCTTGGCAGGAGAAACTGCTGCAGGACCGTACGTAGATGTGCTTATTCCTTGAAGCCAGACTACAACACACTAGAGGATGTACTAACCAAGCGTGGCCGCCGCGGGGGGGGCTTTTATACGTAGCACCCAGCACATGCGGATAAGAGTGGGGTGGGTCGGGCGGTGGGGACGCGGGCAGTCTGCGAGACTCTGGAGAAGCCCGCCGCAGGCACCAACGTTCACAAATTATACAGCGAGCCCGCCGCAGGCGCCAATTGATCGACAAACCAATGTGGGTCGGTCGCGGGTGGGTCGCGGGGTGGGTCGCGGGTGGGTCGCAAATGGGTCGCGGGTGGGTCGCGGGTGGATCGCGGATGGGTCGCGGGTGGGTCGCGGGTGGGTCGCGGGGTGGGTCGTGGGTGGGTCGCGGGTGGGTCGCGGGCGGGTCACGGGGTGGGTCGCGGGTGGGTCGCGGGTGGGTCGCGGGTGGGTCGCGGGTGGGTCGCGGGTGGTCGCGGGTGGGTCGCGAAATGGGTCGCGGGTGGGCGGGGTGAGAAGCGGGTGGGTCGCAGGTGGGTCGCGGGTGGGTCGCGGGTGGGTTGCGGGTCGGGTCGCGGGTGGCGGGTCGGGTCGCGGGGTGGTCGCGGGTGGGTCGCGGGGGGTCGCGAGTAAGTCGCGGGTCGGGTGGGTCGCGGGTGGGTCGCGGGGTGGGCCGCGGGTGGGTCGCGGATGGGTCGTGGGGTGGGTCGTGGGGTGGGTCGCGGGGTGGGTCGCGGGGTGGGTCGCGAGTGGGTCGCGGGTCGGGTCGCGGGTGGGTCGCGGGGTGGGTCGCGGGTTGGTCGCGGGTTGGGTCGCGGGTGGGTCGCGGGGTGAGTGGCGCGGTGGGTCGCGGTTTGGGTCGCGGGGTGGGACGACGGCAACAAACAAGAACAACGCAACACCGCAACAAGTTTGATCTTCACCACGGATCCACGCTTCAGCCACGCACCCATTGACAATGAATAACCGTTCGGCCCCCTCACTCTGATATCTAGCACCCCGCAGATGCGGATAAGAGTGAGGGGGCGGTGGGGACGTCGGCAGTCTGTGAGACTCTGGAGAAGCCCGCCGCAGGCACCAAAGTTTCACAACTTATACAACGAGCCCGCCGCAGGCGCCGATTTGTTCGTTAAACCAATGCGGACAGGTCGCGTGTGGGTCGCAAGTGGGTCGCGGGTGGGTCGCGGGTGTGTCGCGGGTGGGTCTCGGGGTGGGTTGCGGGTGGGTCGCGGGTGGGCCGCGGGTGGGTCGCGGATGGGTCGTGGGGTGGGTCGCGGGTGGGTCGCGGGTCGGGTCGCGGGTGGGTCGCGGGTCGGGTCGCGGGTGGGTCGCAGGGTGGGTCGCGGGGGGGTCGCGGGTTGGCTCGCGGGTCGGTCATGGGGTGGGTCGCGGAGTGGGTCGCGGGGTAGGTCGCGGGGTGGGTCTCGGGGTGGGTCGCGGGTGGGACAACGACAACAAGCAACAACGCAACAACCATAATTCTCCCCACGGATCCCCACTTCAGCCACGCACCCAGGGACAATGAATGACCGTTCGGCCCCTTCACTCTGATGAAGAATACTCGGGCTTATTGTTACGTTGCTCTCTCGTGCAACCTCCAGGGACATTTGGTCCCTCTGCATTCTTCCCCCCCCCCTCTCCCTCCCCTCCACGTCTCTTCGTTTCGTCGCTCCTCCTCCCCCTCCTCCACCCCTGATCCTCCTCCGTCCTTCCTCTCCTCCCCTCCCCTCCTTCTCCTTCCCTTTCATCCCTCTTCTCCCCCTCTTTCTCCCTCCCCATCCTCCTCCCCTCCTCTTCCATCCTCCCACCCCTCCCTTCTCCTCCCTCTCCCCTCCCACTTCTCGTCCTGTCCCCCCCCTCCCACAGCCCCCTTGCAGCGGCCAGCCGTAGGACGTGCAGGGGGACCTCCGGAGCGAGCTCATCAAGGCAAGTTGTTTTTCCCCTTGGCCATCCCTTCTCTCCTCTTCCGTCTACTCCTCTCCTCCCCCGTCCCATTGTTCCTTAACAGTGCTTGCTTCTGGCGGCTCTTATTTACGTTTTGTTTGAGGTAGTTCGGCCCCAGTGGTGGTCCGACCAGCTCGTCGCCGTTGTCGCGGCTGGGCCCGGGTGGCGGTTCGTCCAGCTCGTCGCCGCTTGTCGCCGCCCGTCCTCGCGTTGCATTGTGTTGCATCGTTTCACCTTGTTTTGCATTAAGGTGCATTGCGTTGTTTTGCAATGCGTTGTGTTGCCTTCCATTGCTCTGCATTGCATTGCATTGCTCTGCAGTGCTTTGGATTGCTTTGTATTGTTTTGCACCGCAATACGTAGCAATGCCTTGCTGTGAAATGCTTTGCACTGCTTTGCGTTGCGTTGCACTGCTTTGCATGGCTTCTCATGGCTTTGCATTGTTTTGCATTGCAATGTTTTGCTGTGCGTTGCTTCGCAAACGTTGCAGCACATGGATTGCACCACATATATTGCACCACATTGATTCTCCTTCCTAAGCAAGAAATAGGTTCTACCCCCCTCCCCCCCCAGACTTATTCACCCCCTGGGGACCTATGTAGAACACATACGATTCCGACCAAATGTCCATCCGACCTGTGAATTCATATTATCCCAGCCAAACCGGTATCGCCCCCCCCGCCATCCTCTTCAACAAATACTATGCGCGGGCAGTCGTTTATCAAGAATCATAATTTTTCAAGAGCCCCTTGCAAAAAAACGGGACGAAGTGCACACGCGCGCGTCGTCGCGCGCGCATGCCGAAATCCTTCAGAAGCCTTCGGTTTCGGAAGGAATTCAAAATCGAGTGTCCAAACAACATACAAAAACACAAAGTGTCGCAACCCAGATTTTCAAAACAAAAAAATGTGTGTTAAAAGATCAGTTTTTTTTTCAACAGGTGCATACCATGCTACCAAACGGATTTCGCGCGCGCATGTCGAAATCTTTCCAACGCCTTTGCGCGCGTGCCGTCGCGAGAATCCCTTGCAAAAAACGGGACGAAGTGCACACACGCGCGTCGTCGCGCGCGCATGCCGAAATTCTTCAAAAGCCTATGGTTCCGGAAGGATTTCAAAAACAAGCGGCCACAGAACCTGCAAACACTCAGGGTTTCGAAACACGGATGTTTAACCAAAGCGTGCGCGCGCGCGTTTTGCGAATTCTTAAGAAAACTATGAGTTCTTCAACAGATTCATAACATGCTACCAAACGGACTTCGCGCGCGCATGTCGAAATCGTTCGATCGCCATTGCGCGCGTGCTGGGTTGGCACACTCCGTGTCAAATAATACCATGCGAGCTACTCTCGCGCGTCTGCCGCGCGCGAATTTCGAATTCTTGCCCAAAACCTTCATCACCGACGCGAAACGCCGTCGTCGTCGCCAGCGTGATCGGCATCGGCGCCGTCATCGCCACTATCACCATCGTGTCTACAATTGTCGCCACCAACATTGCCACTATCATCGTCATCGTGTCTACAAGTGTCGACGTTGCCATGATACCGCAACCGCCCAAGCCGCCGACTCGCACTCAAGCGCCCGCTGGGATCTGCCGATGGGTCAGCACCACCGCGGCCTTGTCTGGCCTCTGCGCGCGCGCATGCGCGGGCTGGCGCGGCCGCAGAGATGCACCAGCCAACGCCAAAAACTTTTCGCATTTGCCGCCGCATGAGGTTTGCAAACCAAGTTGCGGGTGGGTGGGTGGAATGTTTGCGCGAGCGGTGGAGTGGACAACCCATCGCAACAAGAAAGTAATTCCATCACCTTGATTTCGCCGCGTAGGTTGCAAGAAACCATTGTTTGGGGTCCACGCTTGCTACCATTCGGTTGTCGTTTCGACGACCGCTTCGGCTGTACCACTACCACTTCGACAGCCATCACAGTTGTTGAGCTCACGCTTGCTAACAACTGCTGTCACCACCCTCGCTACTACCAGTATTACGATTCGTTGATTTACCTTTGCGACCACGACTACTACTACGACTATCGTTACTTGTACGTATACTACCAGTACAACCGCTACTACTACTACTACTACTACTACTACTACTACTACTACTACTACTACTACTACTACTACTACTCCTACTCCTACTACTACTACTACTACTACTACTACTACTACTACTACTACTAACTACTACTACTACTACTACTACTACTACTACTACTACTACTTACTTACTACTACTATACTACTACTACTACTACTACTACTACTACTACTACTACTACTACTACTACTACTACTACTACTACTACTACTACTACTACATACTACTACGACTACTACACTATTACTACTACTTCTACTACACTACTACTTCTACTACTACACGACGACTACTACTACGACTACCACCACTATTCCTAGTACTGCTACTACTGCACTACCGTACTACTACC